CTCTCTTTATCTATGCCATGTTTTGATCTCCACTTTTATATCTAGACACTCACTACACTATATCTCAGCGTCAATGAAATAGGAGACAGTGGAGCACAATATTTGGCTGATGCATTACGACACAACTCGGTAACTCTCATTCTCTCTTTATATCTATCATGTCTTTACCACAATTTTTTCATCTAGACACTCACTGCCCTAGATCTCCGATCGAATAAAATAGGAGAGGTTGGAGCACAACATTTGGCTGATACATTAAAGCACAACACAGTAACTCTCATTATCTGTCTATCTATGGCATATCATTATCTCCACTTTTATATCTAGACCCTCATGGAACTACATGTGTACGATAATGCAATCAGAGAGGTTGGAGCAAAATGTTTGGCTGATGCACTACAGCACAACACAGTAACTTTCATTCTCTCTTCTTCTATACCATGTATTTTCCTTGAATATTTCATCTAGACACTCACCATACTAAATCTCTTTCGTAGAGGGACCAAGAATGATGATGTGCAGCGGGATATCGACGAATTACTCGTACACAATGAAAGAGCAAGAAAACGATGAATGGTGATTTCAGTCTTATTTGGATGCATAGGAAATCGCTAATTCTAATCATGCGAGTATTTTCTTGTGTTATAGTTTTGACAGAATTAATTAATAAAAGTGCTTATTTTTAAAGCTAGTCTGTATTGTACTTATAATGTTTGCTTAGCATGTTTTGATATTTGCTGTTGGTGATGTCACGGCTCTGAAAATAGAAAAGGTTGCAGAACTATTTTGTTAGTTTGTAGCTCGTGCATGATGAAGCTAAGATGCTGTATAACAGTAAGTGGGATTGTAAAAGATTCTTTTCAGTCAGACTTATCTAAGAAAGGTTTTTGTCATAGTAACAAAATTGTGAAAGATCGTTCCGAGTGACAAAAGGGTCTGATAGTGCTAAATCAAGTTTGAGTATTGTGGTTTTGCTGAATTCCTCAAGATTTTGTGGTGTAGATGTGCTTGCATGTATTTGAGTTACAATGGAACGATTTGGATTTTACTAGTACAGACTTGCCGAAATATGATAGAAATTGAAAACGTGACTGTATTGCAAAAGTAGCCGTTACTACGACTTGCAACATGTTGTCTCTCAATGGTATTGATTAGTATGAGAGAGAATCCTGTTGGGATTAGCAGTAACTTTATGGTAGATACTCGCTCGTGACAGTAGTTTTTAAAGCGTTTGATTTAACAATAAAACCAACTTTAATATATAGATAGTAAAATTTATGTGAATATAATTTTGTTGTATAAATATATATTTAAAAAGAATGATTATAGTGGTTCTTAAATTAATCATCCTTGACTCTAATATTAACCGAATTATTAACTGGTAGAAGCTTTTTTATATTAGTCAAAATCTAACAAAAAAAAGAACGAAAATTTTTTACAATAAAATATATTTTATTACATGTATTAGTTGAAGAGGGAAATCAATCATATAATCATATATGATGGTACACTATTAAAGATATGAATAAATAATAGTTTACACATATAATTCAGAGATAATGTCAAACAACATGAATCTAAATTAAATATCTGATAAAATAAAACGAAACTGAAACTTAATTATAGAATTTTTGCAATGTAATGGTAAAATCTGATCAAACAATCGAACCAGAAAAAACAAATCGTTTCGAATTAACTGAACATGGTCGTCTTTTAACATCGGATCATCCAAGTAAAACTCGATATTTACTTTATTGGGGAATTAAATCCAAAAAATATACAACAATTCAACAAGCAAAACTTGGAAATGAATTTGACAAACAGAATATATCAAAAGATCGATATCAATTCATCAGTGGAGATATGTTTGATGCAACGACAATACCACAAGCTGGTGCTTATATTATGAAAAATATTATTCACGATTGGAATGATAATCGAGCAATTAATATAATGAATAAAATAAAAGTACTAATAATATTGCACATAGTATCGATATGCATATGATGGTAATGTTAGGTGCAAAAGAACGTACACAATACCAATATGAATATCTTTCAAAACAAGGTGGTTTTCAACTAAAACAATTACATTCTACAGAAACACCAATTTCAATCATCGAAGCTGTTCCTAATTAATTTATATTTTTTCTTTTGACTGATTTTTATCCTGTAAACGAAGATCTACTTTTTGTAGAAAGAATTTTAATATAGAATTTAATTCAACTATATTGTTGTTGACGTTATTCAAAAGTTCGATCAGCGTCATCTATTGAATTAAAAGAAAAATACTCTGCATACATATATCTATCTATCTATCTATTATCTAAAGAGAATAGTAAAGGAACTATCGATTGTTATTCATATTCTAATTTTATCTTTTCATGAATATATCATCTACATTATCAAATCTATATTTTAATGAATATTACTATGAACCATCAACGTTTTCAGCATATACTACTGATCAACTCTATTATAATTATCAGTATGATGCTAATTCAACACCAATTCTAAATTATTCAACAAATAATTATAATCGTAACATTTGTTGTCTCTAATGTTTAAGTTTTCTTTATCTTTTATTGATTTCTAGTTTTTCATAATGATTTCTTATATTCACAAGAACCAACAGTCAATACAATTAAAATTCATATTAATCCTTTTTTCAAACCTCGTTCATCACAACATACTAGTGAATCATCAACTGAAATTGAACAACCACAACATAATTTATCTGTATCTTCACGAAGTCAAAGTCGCTCATTATCTTCTGATCGACAAGTAATAACGCCTTCTAATAAAGAATCAAAAGTAGTCATTCAAAGAAAACAATTAACGTCAAAACATCGTCGTGCATCAATAGGTAGATCGGAAAAGAAAAAAGACAAATTAAAACGTTTATATAAAGAATATTCTGATGAAAATGTATATGAACATTGGAAACCATTACGAACTCAACAATGTTCTGAACTATGTCAATATGCTTTAGACAAATATCATCAAATAGAATAGATTTGTTTTATTACTACATTTTAAATTTGATATTTCTATAGATTTTCTTGTTCCTTTTTTTATTCATGTAAATTACACTTTTTTTGTTTCTCATAGATTTTATGCGTAAATATGTTAACTTTGTAATTAAAATTGAACATAACTATTAAATATCCTTCTGAAAAAAGAAATTCTTTTTCTTATAACAATATACTCAATAAGTCATTTCTTAGTTCGAAGATGATTCAAAAATCTTTGGAAATTGCTAAAAGTTGATTTTATTTCTTAGATATGCGATGTCGTTTTCGTCGATTAAACTATATCTTATTGTTAAGTATTTATTTATTTCTGTTTTATCAAATATATAACATAAATCCTATATTACGAAACTCTCAATCACCTTTTACAGTAAGTAATCATTCATTAGTGATCTTTCTATTTCTACTTCGAATAGCTCATTCATTATCAAAACAACACTTATCGTATACTTTCATCATCTTTTACATATAATTATCGTGGATCATATCTTAATTTTGCTTATTTCAATGTTGAACAACGTAATCGAGTATTATATATTGATTTTTTATATGGTAGGATTTAGTATACAGTATCAATCAAAGTTTTGACTATAATCTTTAGATATACCCGTTTCATCTCAATGGCAACCGGATGGACATCTTTATCCAATACAAATTGCTCAATATGGTTTAAGTCATTGGAGTCGATTAGAACAGAATTTAAAAAATCAACAAAATAAAATATATAAATTCGAACGACTACAGCCAAGTGAGGTTTTATGACTTTATGTTTGAAATGTACTAGTGTTTTTATTTAGAAGAAAATAATCATTGTTCATCATGGCATACAATCAAAGATGAAATATCTCTTTCAAACACATATGTTCATTTTACAATCACACCGAATTCTTCATTACATTTTCATTTTTTAAATAATAATATTCAACTTGTTTATTCAACGAAAACAATTCATGATTTAGAAACTTTAACAAAGAAAATTATTCCACTTAAGGGTTCTCCTCGTCAAGTCAATCGACATATGCTAATTGATATAGAAAAACTCATGAGAAAAACACTTTTTTTCAGACATGATTTCATCAAAATTCAAATTTGTGGTGATACACAATCTAGTGTTGATCAATTAATTATTGGTAATCAAACTTTATATGATCAACAAGCTTTTTATTCAGCAACACGATGGTTATTAAATAATCAAGATTTACAAACAGGTTGTTGGTTTATTCATGTTCAACGAAATTATGCTCATCATACTCACTATCATCTACGAAATCCATGGTGTTCAGCAATGGCACAAGGTTTATTTTGTTGGTATAAAAAGTATCAGCTAATATTTTCTTCTAAATTTAGGTCAAGCTGCATCATTACTCGTGCGTCTCTCTTCACTAACAAATAATAATGAACATTTATTAGCTATTCGTCGAGCTATTCAACCTTTATGGTCATCAAATCTAACTCGAGCTTATTTTAAAAATCGTTTTCTTTGGCTTGAAGAATATCCATTAGAATTAGCAACCAAAGGTCTTTTTGTTCTTAATGGATGTCTTTATGCTTTAATTGGTATCATCGATGCTAATACAATTGATTATCAACCATATTTATCTGAATTAATAAATCAAATAATTATCTCGTTACAACATATACTTCCATATTATATTCATCCAAATATTTCAAGTTGGTCTCTCTATGATCTAAGTCATATAACAATGAGATCAAAATTAAATACAGCTTCTTATTCATATCATCTTGCACATATAACTTTACTTCAATGTTTACGACAAATATTTAAGAAAATAAATGATTCTGTATCTCAGCTATTTGATTTCTATATACAACGATTTACATCAGCTATTTTGTAATATAGTCTTCATTCTCCTTGGCTGGATAATAATAAATAACAATAAAATCTTTCGCTTTTTCTTCATTACGAACAAGACCAAAACCAATATATTTACAATCAGGATTTAATATTGGTGTGTAACGTATCTGAAAAAACAAGAAAATAAATATCAGCAGATCTATCAATCATTTCTTTACTTTCGACGATTGACCATTTTTAAAATCATCAATAAGTTCATCATGTATTAATCTAGCAATATCTGAACCATCATTCACAGGTGCTTGACAAGACATAATTCTATAAAATACAAGACATAGTGAAAATATTGTTTGAAAATTTTTCATACGTTTCTCCGATAGGTTCACTATTATAAATAAGACCAAATTGAGTGGTGTTTTCGATATAATTTCGAACTGATAATTGTGTTGCTCGATCAAGTGCTCGATTAGTAAGTTCCGAAGAAAGTTCAAGTGATGGAAATCCTAGCTGAGAACGATATTCATTTATTGTTTCGAGATATTGCTTTATTAAACGATTTAAATCAATATCACTTTGAATTTTATTATTAAAGTTTGATGTTGACATGGTTTCGTTCATTAATTGATTATTCGACACTTTTTTATCTTTTGGTGATGATGAAGATTCATTGTTGATTATTCTTGTTGTAGTAGAACGTAGTTTTGACTTTCGACAACAACAAATACGACGATAAGTAAGCATTGTATTCGACATACATTCTATTGAATATATATTATTCTATTTTACATAACAAGAATCAAATTTCAGGACGAAATATAACAGAATTCGACATAATTAAATGATATTTTTAGCGCTATCTACCCGTTGACATTAAAGAGTAATTTCATTTGAACTTTTTACTAATAAAAACAATACGCCTTAAATATAATTTCATGTGAAAAATAGTTTATTTAAAATCCGTATAATATTTTTTAATATTGGTCATATAATATTGTAATAATTTTCGTATTTTGAAGATGAACAAGCAAAATTACTTCATCTTGTAGCTTTTCCCGAATAATGAATATTATAACGTTCAAAGTTGTTTTTGTGAATAATTATAATATGATCTTCGATATTTTTAAAAGAGAATCAAGCCATTGAACAAAACTTCTTGCCAGTTGGACTGGTTTCATTCGACTTCTGAAGCTAGCCTTCTCTATAGGTGTCGGTATGGGATGCGGCTGTATCGCTGAGTGTCTGTTTGATTAGATCAATCGTAGACCTACACTCATCCACCAAAGCTCATCCACACTCACACCCATTCACCCAAGCTCACCCACACCCAAGCCTAGAAAGAGGCCTATGAAGGTTTTTTTAGCGGATGTACGTGGTTTCTCTTTATTATATTGGTATTCTGATTGTGCCATGATGATTTTAATATACTAATCGAGATGGCAAAGAAATGAACGTGCTTGAATGAACATGAAGCTACAGACGTGATAATCGCTGTTTGGTAACTAATACTTTGCTATTTATGTGACCATTGCTATTTGGTAACTAATATTTTACTTTTGACGTGATCATTACACTGAATAATAGGAGAAAAAAATCTGATTCTGGTTATTATTTGAAGAAGAGAGAAGATAAAAAGAAAGCGTTAGATAAAATCGAGAATGATTCCTGAATATATAGAGTTAGTCAACTCTCATTCAATCATTATCGTCGAGTAAGCAAAAATGACGATGATTCTAAGCGTTATCATATTTATTGTCTTGTCTATCGTCAAAAATACTGGTCTTATTCTCGTGTACAACACAGAGAATAGTATAGGCACGGAGGCTATCGATTGTATTTACTACGTTGATAGTCAAACAGTGGAATTTTGCCGAAGACCAGGCGCAAGTGATCAATGGCACTCATCTTTGTCTGATTGCCAAAATGGAGGAAAGAAATGGACTTACAAAGAACTACTCGAACACAACATCACACCATGGCAAGTGCTTTCGTGGAGTTCAAGTGTCGAGAAAGCCGATGAATATGCTCGTGTTTTCTACAATCAATCGATTACTGATGTGTCCGATGGGTTTGTATGCAAGTGTACGGTTGATGGATCATTTGGAAAAAACTGTGAATTCAAGCAACTTTTTAATTATAACTCATTCAGGAATGTTATTATTGACACATTCAAATATAAACACGATCTCCGAGGTCATCAGTTGTTTGGATCAATTTGGTGCTATGAAACACTATTAATTTGCGATTATGGGATGCTTTGTTTAGACTGGCGCAACATTTGTGATGGCGTACAAAATTGTATGGATGGTTATGATGAAGAAAATTGTGACAAGTTGGAATTCAACGAATGCGAGTCTAATGAATATCGTTGTTTGAATGGTATGTGCATCGATAAAGAGTACTGGCTTGATGGTAAGTATATAAGTTTGAAAAATGTCACAATATTCATGTTAACTCAGTGCTTGTGTGAATGAGTTCGATTTACTTCTATATGTGGAGAGGAGAAATGACAACAATTGGAAAAAACAACAAGAACGAAGGTGGTACGAACACGTACACATATAACTAGATAAGAGAATCGCAAGAAACTAACAGACAATACATATGAATATATTGGGTAAATATCCAACATAGAATACGCGGATATTTCTAACACTAATTTGATTGTTAGAACGCACATTTCAAGTTTTAAACAGTTATTTATCTTTTTTTAATACATAAAAGAGGCATAAAGCTGATTTATCAGCCGTATATATACTGATGACCTACGTCGTAGAAAACTGACAGGTTAGAGCAAGGGTGATGATGGGAATACGATCTACTGTAATTCCTCACTTTTGCATAATTTGACGGTCATTCGTTCTAGGAGTTCCTGATTGTATGGATTGGAGCGATGAAAAATACGCACAAGACATCAGTTGTTCCACTAATACGAAGTTCGTCGAATGCGATGAACATATATGTGATAGCGATCGATGGTCGTGTGGGGATGGACAGTGCATTCTTCCTCATGCTCGCCATGTATCTCAAACATTTTATCCACATGATTTGCCATGTAGCACTATGCGCGAATATAATCACATATGTGAAAGCAGCTCATATCCGTCTTTCAAACTATGGACAAAGCCCGATGGACTTTGCTGGTTCAGTACTGACGGTAAATATAAAGA